AGTCTCTGAAAAGAGCTGGTGCTAAATTATGAGCCTTTGTAGCTGACGTTGGAGTGCCATGATGACGCTGAACTTAGCAGAAACTGATAAAACTGAATTGCAGACTGAAGAGAAGATGCGAAAGGCTTGTCGAAAAATTCGAAGGTCATACTGTTATTAAATGCACACACAAACATAGCTATTCATACTGGATTTTCCCTGGACACAGCATTGGAACACAACGTTCAATAAAATAACTTGCGAGCCAGTTTAAGAAGTAAACAGAATTCGTGCAAATGAACCTTGAAATCGCCATCCTGCCGTCATCGTCGACGTAAATAAATGATGGAATACTGTCTGCAGGAAATGTGAGCGTGAAGGGAATCTCGTTGGGTCCTTGAGTGAGCTTATAGGTGCCCTTCACCTTGCCTTCTGCGTCGGGTGTTGTTGACGGTTTCTTTGACTGTACCACCGAGTGACCAACTAACGGGATTTCATACGTTTTCGATTCAGAACCCTATTTGGACGCAAATGTGGGATTTATCGGTGTGCTTTGATGTGAAGACATAAACGAAACATCCTATCAGACAGTTTATCTCCTCTTGTAGAATAACTAGTGAGCGAAGTTAAGTGAAGCTAAATAAATTCCTAGCGGCATGAGGTAACCAACTTACCTCAGTCTGCGTTCCATCCGCAGCACCGTATGTGAGGTTATAGTTCACATTTAGCACAACCGATTCCACCCTTGTCGGCTTCAGTGCATCGAAAAAGAGTCGACCTTCGATGCCAGGATTAGGTTTGATACTTTTCTGCTTAAATTCAATGCGCATTTCCGACAAAACCTCGTTAAGAGGATCTTCAGCACCTGGCTTGTAGCTGTCGTACACGGCCCAAGGCTTTGCATCCACATCCTTCTCTAAAGTGCAAAGAAACCAACTCCTACATGTCCACCAAGTCCTAATTAGCAAAGAGATGCCGAAAAATATCAGACCCTTCATCAAGTCATACCGCTTGAGGACGAGGACTAATAACCACACGTGAACTTATTTTTAATTTATAGTCTGCCTCTACCCTTAAAGTCACGTCTGTTTATGGTACAACAGGTGGGAGCGTCTGATTGGTGTCGAAAAAAAGATTCAAGAAAAAATGTACTTTGATTTCGGGTCCATTTTCAGATTTTGTCTTTTATAGATTGTTGGTGCTAAATTTCCAAAAGAATCTAACGACGAGTAAACTTGTGAGGATATTTATAATAGTATGTTACGAGGAATGATGAATCTTGCTCAAGTAGAACGGCTTTTTCGCTGCACGAAATTGTCATCATCTATTTGCATAACGAGATCATTAGCGCGTGCGTTCATGAATGTCTCCTGAATGCAACAATGCCAGCAAACAAAGCGAGACACTGGAAACCATGCTAAGAAACGTTTACGGTCAAAGTCGATAAACTGTAATCCCGCGGATAAACTGTAAAATAGGAAGTGGCAGGCAGGTGTAGAACTAGTACACTAGCCGAAGTAAATGGACATCTTGAAGAAGGAGACACGATCGCCGGGACAAGAGCTTTATTAGCCTGACGTTTCGGATTCCTACTCGAATCCATCATCAGAGACAAAAAAGCGGAAACAGGACCCGTTTCTGCTTTTTTGTCTCTGATGATGGATTCGATAAGGAATCCGAAACGTCAGGCTAATAAAGCTCTTGTCCCGGAGATCGTGTCTCCTTCTTCAAGGCTACTTCCTGGGATTCGTCTCTTCGTTTCTATTGGAAATGGACATCTTGAACCCT